TTGAGTGGCGTGTCAAGTTGAGTGGCTAATCCTTTGGAAAATGATTGTGAAAATGCTAACACACATACACATGGTGGTGTACACTTGGTGGTGTTGGCACATTTACAAAGGAGATGAAGTTGGAGTTGATATGAATCAACTCGACGATGAAACGGAGGCGAGAAGGGTTAGAAACTCCACTGGTGCCCTATACAGAAATGACAGGGTCTCACAGAGTGGACCGGACGCTGGTCACGTGGTGACCGGACGCTGGGGTCCTACGTCCGGTCAGTGGCGGCAGAGAGCGTGTAGGCGTCGGTCTTCGACCGGACGCTGGCAGGGTGTGTCCGGTCAGGCTGACATACGGTGACTTAGGCGACATAGAGAAGGTGGAGAAGGACCGGACGCTGATGTTGCGTCCACTCGTGACCGACCAGACGCGTCCGGTCGTGACAGGTACCTTACTAGAAACGACCGGGCGCTGGGGTTGCTGCGTCCGGTCAGTTTGAGCAGCTACGTCCGGTCATCACTTGACCGTTGAAATCAAATGACTAAGGTTGAATGGAGGCGACACGTGGCGAGGATCCGTTGACCGGACGCTGAGGTCCTGCATCCGGTCGATACGACCGGAGCGTTCGGTCGTCCCGAGTTTTACCCAGTGAAGGAGTAACGGCTAGTTTAGCCCGTGGGGCTATAAATAGAAGGTGGCCTCGGCCATGGCTGGGGCTGAGCATGTCGGGAGACTTTGTGTCCATGCTTGAGAGTGCTTGAGAGCCCTCCATCTCATATATGCTTGATAGTGATCATCCGATTGTGTGAGAGAGCGATTCTAGTGCGATTGCATCGTGAGGTTGCATCGAGTGGCACTCGGTGATCGAGTTGCAAGCCGGTGGTGCTTGTTACTCTTGGAGGTTGCCACCTCCTACACGGCTTGGTGGTGATCTCCGTCGAAGCCCGTAAGAAGCTGGTGCGGTGCTCCGGAGAAGAGCTTTTGTGAAGGGCATTGTGCTCGCCCCACGTGAGCCGCGAAGAGCAACTCTAGTAAAGCGTGTCATTGAGCTACCCTCACTTTCGGGGTAGGTTCTTACGGTGCCCGACGTGCGGGCTTGGTAGGTGATGCCAATTAGCCGCCGAACCATCAAGTGAGTGGTCGACACAACGGAGACTAGCATATTGGCAAGCACGTGAACCTCGGGAGAAAAATCACCGTGTCAACCTTGTTCTTCTCATTGGTTTGTAATCCCCTTTCACAAGCTTGTATTTATATTTCATATACATTGTGCTTGTGTAGTTGCTCTTGTAATTAGTTAGTTTGTGTAGCTTACTAGTTACCTTCTTGCTTGTGTAGCATAGAAGTAGCTCCCTTACGTGGCTAATTTGGTTTGTGTAACCTTGTTAGTCATATTGCTTAGTTTGTGTAGCTAAATAATTACGCTCTCTAATTTGGTATTGGTTGCCTTGTTATTGAACATTTCTAGTGAGTTTAGGTGGCATTGTGCTTTTGCTTACTAGCTTGTGTAGGAGCTCCCTCATTGCTTGAAGTACTAGTGGCATAGGTTTGTGTGACATTGCTTTTAGAATTGGTTAGGTGAGCTCTAGCTAATCCGGCACCTTTGTTGCTTAATTAGTATCTTTGGAATGTGTTAGAGAACATAAATAAAGGGGTGTAGTCTTGGCTAGACCGATAGTTTTAATTCCGCACTTATTTTGATTAGTCGACACGATTAATTTTAGAAAGGATTATTCACCCCCTCTAGTTCGCCATCTCGACCTTATATGCGTCCGCGGCCGCGCGTGGTGCTGGCCGTGGCCATGGTTGTTTCTGCACGAGAAAGGTAGGGGGTTTTCTACAAATGTACGTTGGATTTAAGATTAAATAAATGGGTATGGACCTGCAGTGAACCATTTTAAAAGTTCAAGGACCCAAAAATACAGTTTCAAAGTTGATGGACCTATATGACACCCCAACGAAAGTTAATAGAACTCCGGTGCATTTTACTAAAAAGAGATCTTTGTAGTTTATGATTTTTTCATTTGGCATTGTTACGGTATGTGAAAAATGATATAGTGCTCAGATCTATATTTATAAGTCCCTAAATTTTAATATTATATCAAATTTTGGGTATCAAAATTATCTCAAATGGGAAGGTTGTCAACTACAAAGTTGTAGGTCTTATCACAATTTACAACTTTTATTTTGGTCATTTCTCCATATAAGTTCATTTGAACAGTTCAAAAATATTTAAATTGCAAAATATTTCAATGGTAGGATTACGTTTTTAATTAACTGTAGGATTACAAAGTTGTAGGTCTCATATGTGCTTAGAACCCGCTAAGGAAACACCCATATTCCTTAGCGGCTGACTTCAACTCTCAAGAAATATATATTTTCTTTGTATATAATTCAGGATTCTAGCAGTGCTGGATTTGGGATTTAGGGAAGAAGGGTCTAGGGTTTTCATTATAAACGTGGGCCAGGCCAAAATTTGCCCACGAGCTCAATGTTAAGGTGGGCGCAGGAGCTCAATGTAAGCGGTGCGGTGGGGCCCACTTATTTTTGGCGACAGATAGAGTGACGATATACTTGTTTTTAGTGACAGACAATTCAACATTAAATATCAATATCTATAGCGACAGACAATAAATCGTTGAATGAGGAATTAGCGACAGATGGTATGTGAGTTATCTTTAGCGACAGATCATCCATCGATAAATATAATTTTTAGCGTCAAATGTCTAACGGTGATGCGATGTTGTGGTGTAGTGTACGTAAGGCGTTTGGATTCTTCGTGCAAGAGTTGTCAGCTAAGTTGCGGACTCCCTTGCGTTTGGATTTTGCTATGTCTCATCACTGTGCTTTCAAGTTGCTCCATGCTGTTCGGATCAGGGTGCAGATCTTGGACAGCACGTCTAGAGGTCTTGATAAGTACATGATAGATAACGTTGGTAAGCTTTCATATTTATTTTCTTTGACCCTGCTACAAGATTTATTCTTCATCTTTCAGCAGGCTCGGGGACTAAGTGGCTACACTTCACCTGACGGTGAATGTAGTGACTTTTTTCTGATTTACCCTCCTTATTGACTAAGGAGTCTAAGTGGCTACACTTCGCCTAAGGTGAAGAATTTTCAAATTTAATCTTGAGTTCCTTACATCCTTCTGGCAAGCCTTACTCGCGTAAGTCCGAGGCCTACCGACCAGTTTGCTTCAATCTTCACCGCTCAGATTACCCGTCAAACTGGTCGGCTTCGATTTTCACCGTTCAGATTACCAATCAAACTGGTCGGTTTCAATTTTCATCACTCGACTTCATGATAAACTACTTGGACTTGATCAAGGACGGCGTCACCAAGCGAATAAAAGGCGCTCGGGGACTAGCTATGGGGGCATGACCCCCGATATCCATAGGACAAGACATGGGCCGCACCATCAGAGGTGACCTAGCCCACAAGATCAAAGCGTGCGGCGCACGACACTAGTCGGCGTGCACCGCAAGGCTATAAGAAGATATTGTAATACCAAATATAATATTTTTTTTGTAACTCTACACCTCTAGAGTATATAAGAATGGATAAGGGTCTCCTTATCCCATATCTCATCTCGTATTCCAGCAATACAAACCAACAGAGCACATGACGTAGGTTTTACGTCACATTGACGACCTGAACCTATATAATTCTTGTGTCTTGTGTCTCTGTTACCATCCGGTTTCTGATCACGCGCACATCTATCAATCAATATATCATCGTGGGCATACCCCTATCGAGCATCTTTTATCGACGATTATCTTTTTATAAAGCGGTTGGATCCGCGACGAGATAGATGGAATTCTACGATCGGAGCTCGATGGCGAGATCAACTAGATGAAATTCTACAATCGATAGCTCGATGGACCTCGAGATCACTTCGCAATCGAGGTAACTCGGTTGATCACGGCGGCATCCTTCGGCAACACGCGACGACCACGATGACCTACGGCGGGACCTGATGCTGAAACGCATCTCGCAGGAGTGCGTTCTGGTGTGTGGAGCCTAGCGGCGGCAGCCGGCCCCGTGCTTTGCGCGCATACTGGAATAGCCCGGCTCGACGACGCGCATATCAAGCGCAGCGGCCAACCTGGTTCCAATCTACTCGGTCTCATGATAATTCCAGACCATCATGATGACCGAACCTGAATACAACACGAGCATGAACCTGTGAAGGCACCGCTAGTTCTTTTCAACGTGGACAAAGCTACGTATGCGGAGGAGTTTCTGAGCAATCGTCATCGGTGTCATGCAAATTACGAGTGGTCTACGTCACCATGACGTGAAGATAATGCAAGCAAGCAAAAGGCTTTCACCGATCTACAAGGAAGTGATCACATAATCCCTTCCTCTTCGTCGAAGAAAGTAGTTTTGTTTGAGTGAAACTTTTTTCCTCACTTCAATATTTCTTTGTTACTTATGGAAAGTGTTCACATGGCATCATATTTAATGAAAAATGAAATCTGCATTAGGATTTGCCTAAAAGAATCAATTGAGCAGGCCGTGATAACGTATAGTACTCCGTAATATGTTGGGATAATGGGAAGAGCCTAAAATAATGATCTTTGTTCTTCATGAAAAATAAATGAGGCTAGCCAAATTAATTGCATTTGGTCTAATTGTCTTCAAGGGAAAAAACAAGAACACATATCAGAATACCAATGAGATCAAGTGATTAATAAAAGCTTCCATAAAATAGCAATTAAAATAAAGGAGGACACATCACACAAGTCGCTGACACCTGGGACCCAACGCCAGAGACGCGGCTTTTTCATCTTTGGATTGGAGTCTCTACTAGTAATCTCCGGTCTCCTCGTCTCGTTTCGACGTTTCCTCTTCGTCCCCCGTGACGTCCCTACGTCACCCATCCTCACCGGCTGTCGGCACCCGCCCGCCGCTGATCCCCGCCGCCGTGCCACGACCCCTCGTGGGTTCAGATCAGGCCCAAATCGCGAGCGGCGATCTGTACGCCGTCCGCGCTCGCACGCCTAGCGCGATGGCGCACCCGATGTACGGCTCCGGGCCGCTCCGATCCAGGTAAACCCTACCGTACCACCTGCGCCTCGTCTGCCCCCGTCGATTTGTCTCCTTGAAATTGTATCGGTTCCCGTGATGGATTTGGGTTACTTGCTTGCGGGGTCGCAGGAACGCGGCCAACTCGGAGGAAATCCAGCTGCGGATCGACCCGGTGCACGGGGACCTCGACGAGGAGATCGACGGGCTGCACTCCAGGGTCCGCATGCTCAAAGGGGTAAGGTTTGGTTCCCCTTTTGCCTCGATCCTTCGTGTTTTTTCATATTCGTTGCGTGATGCGTGATAGCTTTGCTTGATTCTAGGGTCCTTGGTTATCCGTGATTTTTGAACTACAAAACATATTGATTGGGTACGCACGTTATAGATTTTTTGTGGGCATGTAATATATATTTCATAGTTGCTTGTTTCTGATTTCACATGTAACCCGGTTCGCGATTTAGTGCCTGTGGTGGTGCGGCTTGCTAGTTCGGCTAAGCTGGTTCTATTGTCTTCAAACCTAATTGAATCGCTCGATTCTGCTTTAAATGTTATCCGATTTGTGATTTACGCACCACTTTGTGGTGGTGCACAGTTCAGGTAAACTGGTTCCGTCATCTTTAAACCTACATGAATTGTGAGTGGATGGAACTTGAATTAGAATCAGGTGAGAATAAGAGACGGTCATGTTTGTTTCATGTGAGGTGCTAGCAAGCCTTCTAAAACAGTTCCTTATCCTGCCAGTTCCTTATCCTGCTACATCTAGGCTGTCTGCAACACAAGGATATGAAGTGAATTTTACAGGGGATAGTTCAATTCTTATGGGAATAAGAAAAAAAGATTGCGTCTTATCATAGTAAATTTTGTGCAAAATTTCCATAACTGATGTCATCTGGTGTATTTGCTAAGGCAATATATTATTTAGTGTGTGTCAAGGTTGTTTGATCTACTTTGAAGTTTGAATCTTTTTGTTAACAGTCAATCAACATACATATGACTCAGTTGGTGACGCATTGTTGTTAGTTTTAATCAGTACATCAGAAATGCTGGGTCCTCTTGGTTTACCCATTGCTTCTGACCTTGTTGATTTCTACTTTGTTTAATCTACTACAATGAAGTCTCAATGATTTCATTAAACCTTATTGTGCCAGTGGCTTTGTACTGTTTAAGGCCTTGCTGTTGCAAGCTCTCTCACAGGATTTGTTGAAGACCAGTTATTTGCATTCTTGTAGAACCTACCTTATTAATATTTCAAATGTATTGCTTATAGGATTTATATCAAATGTTTGAACAAGTAACAGAAATGCCTTAAGATAATGATTGTTCATTCTTGCTACAGTTACATACAAGCTGATCTTTATACTATTTGTAATTAGCTACTAGTCAAAGAATTTGTTCTTTTTTGGAAGGTAAGTTTGACTTTTGGTGTTTGATGAACTGTTTCTCCAGGTGGCCCAGGAGATAAATTCTGAAGCCAAGTTCCAGAATGATTTTCTGCATGAACTGGTATTTTCTCTTCCTTTTCTTATTAACAGCGTTTACTCCTGCAAACTGTCGAGTGTGGTATTTTTTTTTTCTCGAACACTGCAGTATTATTTTTTGGTAGCCCTTGGTTATGTGTTGGCTATCATAGATAGGTAGCTGGTGTGCATATAACCCTTTTTTCCCCTGAGATGTATTTCCTCCATATTCAATCTGTGTTATGTACTACTTGCCAGAACTTTTTTTCACTCTTTTGTATTCTAAATTTGTGTCTACGTAAAGGACTCGGTATTTGTTTCAGCCTTTTCTGGATTTAGGGCCTGTTTGGATCCATTAGCACTAAAAATTGGCAGCTAAAATTAGTACTAGTAGATCCAAACAGACCTGCTAATAAACCTGCTAATTATTAGTTGGAGGGCTGCTAACTATTAGTTCCATTAAAAGGTTTGGAGTTGCTAATAGGTACTAATAGTTCATATGCACCTTTAACTTACTATCCAACCACCTATTAGCAGGTGGATCCAAACAGCCCCCCTGCTAAAAATTAGCTAGCTAAAAATTAGCTAGCTAATCGGCTGATATGTTGCGCAGTAGATTTCGGATTATTTCGGATGATTCAATAGTGTTATGTGAGAGAGAATAAGCTGAAACAAGCCAGAACTTGAGCAGCCGAACACGCTGAATTAGCTATTAACTTTTTTAGTGCTAATGGATCCAAACAGGCCATTAATATGCTGTATAGGTCAGGTATTTTGTATGGCCTAGCAAACTGTTAATTTCTGGATTTATGTGTTGCATCCTACATTCGTAAAGCCTATGTCATCTTTGAGTAATACAACAGCAATATTATTACCTTCAGAAACAGTTAATCTTTGCTATGCTCTTTGACAATCTATATCAGAGTTATGCTCTGACTTTGGTTACTGCTTGTGCATGTACAGCAAATGACCCTTGCAAAAGCTCAGGCTGGAGTGAAGAACAACATGCGGAGGTTGAACAAGAGCATCATCCAGCAGGGCTCAAACCATGTTCTCCATGTTGTCCTCTTTGCACTGTTTTGCTTCTTCGTTGTCTATCTCTTGTCAAAGTTCTCTAGAAGATAGTTCCCGTCTTCGGTGGGAAAATCTAGGATACCATGACTTGTATGTAGTCTAAAGAAAACAAAATGCTATTGTACTTTTGTACTTTTGTCTGGCCTTGTATCCTCAGTCTTGTCGAAATTCGAAACAAACTAGAAAAGAGGAAATTGGTACCCCTCAAAGATGTAGTCTAACCTCATCCACTGATCCGTATGACTGTACCTGTTGGGATTTCAGTTTGTACTACAGAGACGTTCTCCCTTGGGTGTTTCGTTGAGTGTATGCAATGAGTTGAGCGTGTATCAAAAGTGGCATATGGTAGGATGAAAAAAGACTAATGTTAATCACATCATTCAGTACAATGCATAGCTTGTATGTGAATCCAATCCTTTTTTTTTGTAGGATTATGTACCATTGTAACTAACTTGGGTGGCTTCGTTTACCATCATGTATGTATGTTATTTCTGATATTCAGAAGACATTTGCAAGAAAGTGGCTTCACCATTGATGTATACAAGGGAAGAAATCAAACTGGGCACCATTTCTTACAATTTATGATGTGACTTTGCCTGGTGGAATTGGATTTGGTTGAACAGAGAGGATATTTAAGGCCGGGCAGGATAGCTGTGCACGCCGTCTCATTTTGAATAAATGGCTGTGGATTAGTTTAAGAGGAAGCCCACTACTCAAAGTGAGGAATATCCTTATATATGGGCTTATCATTGTCACCTTGAGCTCAAATTGGCAGAATATGATGGAATTATAGTTGAAAGAGACTACAAGAGGAACTGTCTAATCTTTATCTGTTCACAGAGCATACATATCTGCTGCTAGAAGAGTCATTCCTTCTGTCCTAGAGAGCTCGAGGAATACATTGCAACTGCATATTCCAGCATCCGCCAAGAGGAGGCAAAGTCAAACGCACCAACCTCCTACACAACTATCAGGACACTTTTGAGCATACTCTGTATTTGTATTGTAAGTAACTTGACTGTTTTCCCTTCACAATACCATATGAAAATATCTCTTTAAACATGATGCTGCTTGCCTATTTCAGGCCTTGACAAGACTTAGGTTTTCAGAAACTGTCTCTCAGAGTGATGTCGATGAAGCACTGCGACTGATGCAAATGTCCAAGTACTCGTTATACTCAGATGACCGCCAGCGGTCTGGCCTTGATGCAATGGATGCGAGATATATCTGACTATATTCCACCATCCTGAGAGACGAAGGTGCTAGGGCGAGCAGCATGGATGCGAGATATGCTCATGCTCTTAACTTGATCTCCAGAAAGGTACAGTTTCTACTTTCTACATACACATACTGGTACAGGTGCACAACTCAGGGCCAGTATGACCTGATTGCTGAAAAATTGGTTGGTGCTAAAATGTCTGTGAATCACAGGGGGCACACAGCGAGGTTCAATTGAAGGGTGCTTGGAGGAATACACTTCCCTGAATGTGTGGCAGATCCATCCAAGCACCTTTGACATCCATCCACTTCATCGATGCCTGATGCAGAAGCCAATACCGACCACCTAACATTTCATCATGAGCGAAGGAATGGAACATAAAGAGTTTGTTGCTTCGTGATTCGTGACAGGAGGGATGAACACTGTCGACTGAAGCCTAACAAGTTTTAGAAGTTCCAGTCTATGTATCAATGATGAAACGAGTTGCTTGCAAATATCTTCTGAATATCAGAAATAACATACATGATGGTACACGAAACCACCCCAGCTAGTTACAATCGAATATATAATCCTATAAAAATCTGGAATGGATTCACATTACAAGCTATGGCCTCTTTTCTTATAATCCGTATTTTTTTTTTTTTTTTTTTAGAACAATGTTTTCTCTTATAATAAATCATTTTAAGCAGTGTTTGTTTTGGTTTTGCCAAATGACGCTTAACAGAGCCATGCATTGTTCTGAGTGGTTTGACTAACATTAGTCTTTTTTATCCTACTATATGCAACTTTTGATCATCCACGCTCAACTCGTTGCATAAACTCACGAAACACCCAACAAGGTAGAGCGTCTCTGAAGTACAGACTGCAATCCCAACAGTTCCAATCATACGGATCAGTGGATGAGGTTAGAATAAATCTTTCTCTACAACTAGAACACGGGGACACGTGACAAATCTCGTGCTCTTCTCTCCTCTCTCCTCTTCTCTCTCTTCTCAGTTATCACCAGCGGAGAGAAATCAAACCCTAGCCCCCGTCGTTGCCCCTTCGGATCTCCGGCGAACGCCACCGCGGATAGAGTGATTCCACCCCGCGAGATTGAAGCCCCTTGGTCTGGGAATTTCAAGGTGGGTGCTTTGCGGTTGGTGATTTGGGGGTGAAGGAGGTGGAAGGCTATGGGGTCGTCCTCGAAGGTGGTGCGGCCGGAGGAGGTGCTGGAGTCGCTGAAGAACGACGGCAGCATCGATGCGCTCCGCATGAAGATCATCGCCCAGCTCAAGGCCAACGTACGTGCAGGCTTCCCTTCCTCTCCCGATTCCCCTCCTATTCCTTTGAGACCTTTATTTTGGCTCCTCCTTACTATTATGTTAGAAGTTTTTTGTTGTATGATAAAGAAAAACATTATACAGTTCCTCTAAAAAACATTATTCAGTTAAGAAATCACTTCCAGCTTAAGTTGGTAGACCTGCTTAGGAGATATGCTCATAGTATGCGACCCTGGGATGGTCTGAATTAATGAACTTGCTATCCAGGTTGTGCGCTTTCTGTAATTGATGGAATCAGGAAGTCTGTGACTAAATCGTTAAAATTAAGTTAGAGTTCAATAGATTATTTAATTGCTGTTGCAGTTCAGAGGCGATCGCTCATGTCCCAAGGGACCGGTAAACAGGGAATTGGTTTGCATGAGAGTTAGGGTATTTAGTTGTTCTTTGCTGTCACTTGGCACACGTTTCGTCGTCTGTTTCAATCTGTACTTCTCTAATATCAACATGACGGTTCGGAATTATTTTGCACGAGAATTTGGGTATTTAGTTGTCCTTTGGTGTCACATGCCGTTTCCTCATTGGTTCTGTTCTACTTTTCCCCATATCAACGTGATGTATCAGGAATTTGTTTGCACAAGAATTTAGGTGTTTCACTTTTCCTTTGGCGTCACTTGGCACATGTTGTTTCCTCAGTGGTGTCATTCTGTTTTGGAAAACTGTTCTTCTTTCCTTATTTATTAGCATAAGGTTCCATATGTGCATATGGCAGGATATTTTTGTTGATGTAGAATAAAATCATTTCTGCATTGTCTTATGCTACATGTACCCTTCATCATGCTCTTGGCATCACTCTATGTCAGACTCACCTGACCAATAGAGTAGTGAGAAGTGGAGACTTGTCGATGAACTTTCTTACTTTGATTTCAGGAAGATATGAAGAGAAACACTATGATGATGGTGGAGCAAAGCAAGGTACTGAATACTCCTGGAGCTGAGAAAAAGACCAAGAGGGAGTTATTTGATGCACTTCGACAGGAACTGGAGTAAGCTCCTGTCTTTCTGTTTGAATCTGTGCTCAGTAACAGTACATTGCCTGGTTTCTATTTGGCCTTAACAACAAATTGCTTATCTGGATGTTATAAAATGCTTATAGCAGTTTTTACTAACAAGTAAAAACATGAGTAGCCTTGACCTCATACACAAATCTCCAGGTCTAGGATAAGTCATCTTCCTACGTATTGTTGCCCTTTGCTGGTTGTTCAAAAAGTAGTGAAGTGATATAGTTCCCATGATTTTATTTGTTCTTCCATTGTTCTGGTGTATTGTTTATATTGTGGAAAATCCAAATTTACTTCTCCTGCATTCTGCAGTTTTCGACTCCATTCCCAGCTTCGCAATGCTAACTGTTTTATGCAATGCAGGACTCCAGTCCTTGAGAAAGCCTCCAAGGCAGTTTGGGAGCTGATTCTAGACAATGGTGGATTAGGGAAAGAGATAACTGAAACAGTTGAGAAAGTCTTCTGCCGGCTCAGTGGAATTGACATGATGCCACCTCCGCCTTCAGCCACTGGTGCTCATCAAGAGAAAGATGACATGGCTGTTGATGAAGTTGTGAAGAGCAAGGAGGTGGATGCTTTTGAACCATCCTCATCAAGGAAGAGACCCTTCAGCGACGTCAACCGAAAAGGAGCAGGTGCTTTACCAAATGGCAGTGCTACAGACCAGCATGATGAGTCCGAGGATAGTGACCAGAAGATATGATGCTGCTCTGTGCTGTAATTTTTAGTTCAGGCTGAAGTAGCTTTGGTGCTTGAATGATAGCAAGTCGAATTCTTATCCCTGCATATTCTAGGGTTGTATGGTATATTGGCAAGTTATACTTCTTGTTCATACAAGTTCTGTGAGCAACTCTGCAACTGCTATAGGATGTTTCAGTTTTCAAGAAAGCAGCTGCTGTTGAGTTTCTTCTGAATATAGGATAAATTGGTTGACTAATTCCTCTTGACAGTTTTGTGGTATGTTTAAGTTGTAATCATTCAAGAGTTATGTTAGATGCTTCTTCATTTTGCAAGGACTGCATTTTGCAAATTAAGAATCAGTCTCACCCAGTCTTCTTCATGATGGTTGCTGGTATGGACCGGTGCTCTCCCTCTGATGGATCGAAGGTTGTACGAATGGGTGATGGTTGGACGTGGTTTGAAGATGGAGGATCGGTGGTGGGGCGCCGTGATCTCGCGCGCAAGGAAGAGAACAGAGGCGGCTAGGGCAAACTCCCGGCTCCCTAAGGAAGCCGAGTAATATGATTACTCTTGCTTAAAATCCAATTGTGCCTGATTACAAGTATTTATACTTCCATGAATAAAATTGAGAAATAAAACTAAATATGCTAACGGGCTCTCTTAGCCACTAATGGGCTTGCGCCTGGAACACTGCAGCCCGGTCATAACATCTCTTCCCGCACCGACAAACAGCTCGTCCTCGAGCTGCACATCGGGGTAAAGAGTCTTGAAGTCATCGAGCGGTTCCCATGTCGCATCGTCGTTGGGAAGTCCGTGCCATTTGACCAGCAGCTTCCAATCGCCACGGCGGAGCTGAGCACGCAGAACACGTTCCGGAGCTGGCAGCAGGCGCCCATCCTGAACAGGCAGCACGGCCGCCGTAATCGTGGGGAGATCACCCCTCCACTGCTTGAGCAAGCCAACATGAAAAACGTCATGGAGACGTGCACCTTCTGGTAGCTGCAAGCGGTAGGCCACCTGGCCTATACGTTCCAGGATCTGGAAAGGGCCAGCGTATCGCGGCCTCAGCTTGCCCTTTGCCGGCGTTGCGAGAGTGTGGGTGGGTCGATGGAGCAGACGAAGGAGTACCCAGTTGCCGACGTTAAGTCCACAGCGCGATGATGCTCGTCGTAGCGGCGCTTGGCATGCTGCTGCGCTTGAAGAAGGCGCTCCCGGACCTCCACCAAGAAGGTGTCCCGGTCCCGGAGCATGGTGTCCGCGGCCTCCGTGTCAGCAGCCCCCTCTCTGTGGGAAAGGAGGGGCGGCGGAGGCCGGCCGTAGACCACCTCAAACGGCGTCGCCCGGAGCGCCGTGTGAAACGACGTGTTGTAGCAGTACTCCGCCCACGGAAGCCAGTCCACCCATGAGCGCGGGCGGTCGCTGGTCGCACAACGAAGGTACATCGCGATCACCTTGTTGATGACCTCAAATTGGCCGTCGGTCTGAGGGTGAAACGTCATGCTCAAACGCAGCTTCACACCTGCAAGCTTAAAGAGGTCACGCCACAGGTTGCTGGTGAAGACCGGATCACGATCGCTGACGATGGAGTTGGGGAAGCCGTGTAGCCGCACAATCCCTTCGAAGAAGGCACGGGCGACCGAGGCGGCGTTGTAGGGGTGGCTGAGGGCGATGAAGTGAGCGTATTTGGAGAACCGATCCACCACCGTCAAGATCACCGACTTGCCATGCACCTTGGGAAGGCCATCGATGAAGTCCATGGAGATGTCGGCCCACACCTATGACGGCACGTCCAGGGGTTGGAGGAGGCCAGCCGACTATGTGGTCGGCGTCTTGTTGCGTTGGCACACGTCGCAGGAGCGGACGAAATCCTGCACAAGCTTGCGGTCGCCGGGGATGTAGAAATCGCGACGTAGTCGCACAAGGGTCTTCTGAACACCCTCATGCCCGGCGGTGCGGGCCAGGGCCACCACTTGGTGGCGCAGGTCCCCCAGATCGGGAACATAGACGCGCTTGCCATGGAGGAGGAAACCATCCACGGTCCCCCACGATGCCTCCAGGTGGGTGTCTTCCTGCTATTGCAGGAGGCCGCGCGCCACGGGGTCATCGGTGGTGGCCTTCCTGATGTCATCGAAGAGGGTGAAGGACGGTCCCGACAAGGTGCACACCGCTGTAGTGTCCTCGTCGCGGCGAGACAGCGCGTCGGCCGCCGAATTGAGCCGGCCCGGATGATACTCCACTGTGAAGTCAAACCCGAACAACTTGCTAATCCACTGGTGTTGCGGAACCATGGAAAGCCATTGGTCTAAGAGGAACTTCGGCCGGATGATGCCCTGCTCCAACATGGCGGCACACTGCCGCTCCAACTCGTCCTTCTGCAGCTGCGGGTACCGGTAAGGGTGCACCGCCACCGGCGTGGTCCCGGGTAGGAGGTGGATGCGGTGGTCGTAGGGCCGCGCTGGAGGGAGGCCACGAGGTTCGTCGAAGATGGCCCCGTGTTGTAGCAGTAGCTGTTCCAGCAGCGGGTGCTACGGGTCAGCCGTGACCGCGGCCAGGGGCTGGTGATTCGTCGGAGCTCCGGGGGCGCCAACGCATTGCCATGTCACGCGTCGGTCGTCCCTCTGGAAGGCCACGGTCAGGCCCTCGAAGTCCCAGAGCAGGGGACCCAATGTCCCGAGGAAGTCGACGCCGAGGATGAAGTCGAAGCAGCCAAGCGTGAGGCCGATGCAGGTGACGGGGAAAGACTCGCCGTCAATGGTGATAGGGACGTCATGAGCGATCCCCTCACGGCACGCACTTGCCGTTGGCGACGGTGACAAGAAGGTGGGTGCCCCCCGCGGCACGAGCCCTAGGTGGCGCATGACGGTACCCTAGAGGAAGGTGTGGGTGGAACCCATGTCCAGCAGGGCGAGGAGGCATTCCCCGTTGACCACAACCGGCAGCAGCAAGGTGTGGTAGGTTCGGATCCCTACAAGAGCGTACACTAAAACAACAAGGGCATTAACAGTGCCCCCCGGAGGTGTCGACTCCTCGGGTTGTGCAGCCGCGTCGACGTCCACGGCGTTGAGCCCCTCGTCATCGATGTAGTCTGTGGACTCCAGGTAGAACAAGCGGGGGCACACGTGTCCACGTACATACTGCTCATCGCAGTTATAGCACAAGCCTTGGCGACGGCGTTCGAGCATCTCGGCCGGCGATAAACATCGGAAAGGCCGAGCAGGCGTCGCTGCGCCCGAGCCTGCAGATGTCGGCGTTGGAAGGGCGGACACGGCCGCTGGAGTAGCACCCCCCGCGGGAGCCTGTGCTGGAGGGGCCGACCGCTGAGGAGGACGGGCGCCACGCTGCGCAGGCACCGCCATGGCCTCGGTGCGACGTTCGAAAGCACGAGCCAAGTACATGGCCGTCTGGAGGTCACCGGGATCTCGCATCTCCACATCCACGCGAATGTGGTCCGGGAGACCACCCACGAACAGCTCGGCCTTCTGGCGTGTAGATATGTCCCGGGCGTGTGCCAGGACCGCCTGGAAGCGACCGGCGAACTCCTCCACCGAAGAGTGAAACGGCAGCCGGCCCAATTGAAAGTGCATCTAGCCCTTTAGTGGGTTTTGGTTGATTGAATGACAACGTGATTAAAGGACTAACCCGTTTGCTAAGTGTGAACAGGTAATAGGTTATCTCACAGGTACTTAATGAAAGCCAAAATGATGTGTTGTTGTATAAACAATCTAGTTCAAGCACAAGACAACAATGCAAATGGAATTCATGTGAAGGCTTATTTATTGTGGGATTTCCATGTACTATGTGATAGCAAGCTCATGATTATTAGTTAATGAGACATGATGGATTGCATATGGAATGGTCTCATATCTGAAGCTTGCTAAATTAAAATGAAAAAGATAACAATACATATGAATGGATGATTCAACACAAGATGTGACTTGATGGCTTGAGATGGTGAAGATAGCAAGGAAAGGCTTGAGGTACTAAGCAAGGGTGAAGGGCAAGCGACGGCTTGGCGTACGTCAAGAACCTAGCTAGGGTGAAGAAGAAAGTACTTGCATTTAGTTGAGGTACTAGTCAAGCTAAGATGGTCATATTGATGTGAAGGATCAAATCTATAATGAAGTATTTGATGGAAGTGACTTGATACATTTGGGATTATTCAAACTTGATGAATGGAATCAAGTCACATGCTCAAGATGGCTATGCTCAAGTGAAAAGATCAACATCAACATGTTAGCACCCTTACTTGATGAAGATTGGAAGGGACGGCATCAATTCAAAAGAACAACTCAAGTGGTACAAATTCATATTTCCGTTTGTCTTTAGTTTAATAGGTATGCCGTACTATTAAGAGGGATGCATCATGTTGATAGATAATGTTTCATAGGTGCTCAAGCCAACCCATGTGAGTTTTGAGTATTTGAGAGACAAAAGAGCTAACTGATTTGTTGCTGGTCTGGCAATACCGGACGTGTCCGGTATTCATACCGGACGTGTCCCGGTATTGTCCAAAGATTTGTAAAATTGTTGTTCTCAGGTTGGTTAGTCGGGAGTTCCGACGTAGGTCGGGAGTTCCGACGGTCGGGAGTCCCGGCATGGGTCGGGAGTTCCGACGTGTCGCACTTCAACTGACTTGGAGGGTTCACTGTCCTGGTCATACCGGACGTGTCCGGTATTAATACCGGACGTGTCCGGTATGGATGACCAGAAGCCAACGGCTAGTTTTCAAAAGCCGTGAGGGTCGGGAGTTCCGACGTATGTCGGGAGTTCCGACGGTCGGGAGTTCCGACATATGTCGGGAGTTCCGACACCTCACTAACTTTAACTCAGTTACATGTTTTTCAAAATTACTGAGGGTCGGGGGTTCCGACTTGAGTCGGGAGTTCCGACGGTCGGAAGTCCCGGCATTCTTCGGGAGTTCCGATGCCTCACAACATCACTGTAACTTAGTTACCGTTGGCGCAGTCTGAGTCATACCGGACGTGTCCGGTATTGCAACGGCTATAAAACGGCTAGTTTTTC